AATTGATTGGAACACATCAATTAACATCTTGATTTATATCATTACTACTGGGAGCTGAATAGTCGATCAAAACAAAAAAAGAAAAAAAAAAAATTAACAAAAACAATAACAAAAAAAACATTTTATTTAAATACTAATAATTATCACTAAAGGGTTTTTCACCATATGATATGGTTTTCCCTAACATATATAATGAGCATTAGCTTATAAGATTTTACATAGATATATATAATTATATATTTATTAATAAATCGAACTTTGAAGGAAAAAAAAAAAGGTATAAAAACGCATAAAAACATTTTTTCACAATAATAGGGTTTTTCACCATTAATGGTTTTCCCTTAACACTTTAATTTTCAAACTACATTAGGTAGTTTATGAGATATATAGTTATATAATTAATTAATATATTGAATTTTGTCTTTAAAAAAAAAAAATGATTTTTGCATCAAAGCGCATAAATTCGCATTACTGTATTCACAGTAATTGTTAAAAATAATGTTTAGTAGGTAGCGTATTCTTACATAAAAAAATTGGTAGTTTATGGGGAATATATTAAGAAAGTTGAATCCAGATCTTGAGCCTTTTATATAACAGATAGAATACAAGTAGCGCGTTTAGACACTGTAGTAGAATGACCCACTTACTCATCCAATACCCTTTATCAGTACATTTGTGGTTACTGCTATCATGTAAAAAGAAATATCAAGACTCACAACCAAATTCCTGTTTATATATTATTAAACGTTTACATTTACCTTATACTTATTATTATCATTACATTAATATCTATCAGGGTTCGGAAAAAGTCCCTAAAAATTTGCCTCTTTGAAAAAGGCACATTTAGGCACTTTTTTTATAGTGTAAAAGTATAAAAAAGTGCCCAGTCACGTGCTCCTACATATAAGCTCATGGCGAAAGATTTCTAGTAATTACTACATTTATAGCTGAGGGATTGTAGCAAAAGTATATTGTATCTATAGGTTAATTCAAATCACTCGTTTCCATTATCGAACCAATGGAAGATACATCCATTAAATTACCTGAGTATTATTCATGAAAAAGATTGATAAGAATGTCACGCGTCATTTATAGTAAAATCTTTGTAAGAATGTTACGCGTACTTTTGTAGACATCGCCCATAACACAGAGAGAGCCAATAAAAAGAGAATAAGACATGTATCATGTATCATGTGATAGTATACTACACGTGATTGGCACTTTTTCACAAACCAACGGGCACCTGCTAAGAAAAAATGGTACATTCTGGCACTTTTTCCGAATCCTGCATATTGAATATACAGTGGTCTTTCTAGACTCAGCAATTTTTCTATTTTTGTTAGTTTTTTATTATTATTATTCATTTTGTGACAAATTACATATTTATAAATAAATTCAAAAAAAAAAAGCAATTAAACTCACCATTATAAACAATAATTTATAGTTGGAAGAATAATCTGGGGCCTAAAGCGTAAATGCCAACAATAATACACAACAAACACTGAAAGTAAACAAACCAACAAAAAACGATAGAAAAATTTTCAATGAAAAACAAAAATAGTCGGTGTTCCCGCACCCAGAATAAATTCTCTCAGAGGGGGTCCCACACTCCTTTTTGTTATTAGGGATTCTATCACTCTATATTGGCACGGCAACGGCACGTGTATTGTATCGGTCAAGGTGACCGCGTTAGCTTACTTGGTGCAGACCAAGGTTGAGAGGGGTTCTTCTAGATTCGGCAGTAGATTACTCTATTCCTCGTTGTTCCTTGTCCCCCCTCTCTCCCTTGAAGTCTACGTGTATTAGGGAGGTGTTCTTGTACTTACTATACTATCTAGTCCGGGTTAACGTCTCCGGAGTCCGCTCCGGAGACTCCGGCTATGACGATCACACTGCTATGTAGTGCACTACCTTATCCCTAACATGTATCCATTACCATACCGGAGTTCCGGACCTCATATCCGGTCAGACCACCATGACGTCGCCTAGCGTATTTGTTGGGATCGACCGCTATCTATGGTCGTTCCGAATTGTTGTGCTTCTCCAGAAGCACCAGCAGAAGTATTGGACTGATTATCCATTACAAGAAACAAGGGTTGAGGTCGGTAAGTAGTTGTATAATGAGATATTAACTAAGATCGTTAAATCAATAATTGTTTTCAGTTTCTTCTACAGAGTAAATTAAACTACAGGATCACACGATCCTTAAATTATAAACTTCCTTCCGGGATAAGTGGAAGCTCCTGGAATATTCCTGTAAGGGAATATTCACATAAAGGAGTGTCCTATCAGAGTCAGAGCTGTGACGTCGATCACAGCAGGATATAGTTAGTAGTTCCAGAGTCACATCACGTCATTCGTCAATAAGTGAGTAACCAAACCTTAACCATCCGTCGATGATTAAGTGAACTAACCAACCACAGGTATGGCGGTCCCAACAGTACAGTGATTTCATTTTTCATTCGTACTAAAAACCGGAAATGTTCATACCAGTGGCGAAAAAAAGTTCATACCGACCCCCGGTATTTTTCATACCACCGCAGCGGGAGTTATTCATACCATCTAAGAAAAATAATTCGTACCATTGCACTTTAATTATTCATACCAACAGGAAATAAATTTCATACTAATGCATAAAATTCTTATGCTTTCATTAATATTTTATCTTTGATATTATTATAATTATTTATATCCATTGAATTGCAACAATCATTTATTATTTCAAAGGCTCATAACCAAATTTTGGAACGGTTTTATCCTTCCTTTAAATTTTAAATTTTCATCATATTTTTTTTTCTGAGCTTTGTTGTGTGTTTATGTAATTTTTTTTATAGTTTCTATTTTTTTTTTGGTCTGTTTTCTTTATGTTGTTTTCTTTATGTTGTTTTCTAATTTTTTTTTTCTTCTTTGGTATTTGTTTTCAAAAGAGCTGCTGTTGTAAACAGAGATCAATATGTCTAGAAGCATGTCTGCAGAATCCCTTATAACTATCAAGGGAAATATTTTCTGTGGCTTCTTTCACCCTTGGAGTTAATTGCTCCTTCTTGCTCAAGGTTGATCTTTTGACTTTACTCTTACATACTGATCAGAATTCTTCTATAGCATTCAACCCTGGAGAATAAGGAGGCAAAAACACAAGTTCCAACCCACTCAGTGCCACTAGCAACTGAAGATCACGTCGTTTATGAATGGCAGCATTATCAAGGATCAAATATTTCATACCTTTAAGCTCATCGTTATTTTCTATTTTCTATTTGCTGAATCACTGACTTTACAAAACTGTAGAAGTGATTTGCTGTAGTACCTCTACTCACTTTGTCAATGGTCGTTTCTGAATCAAGCTTTCTCTTCTTATTGGGTGTAGCCACTGGAGCTCTGACCTTTAATTCAATACAACCTTTGGCAGAAATTGCCCTTATGAACGAAATATTAAGCCCTCTGGTTACTGGAACAGTGAGAACTGCTTTTTCACCTACAGCAGACCATCCATACTCACGCCGCATACTGATGTTGAAACCTGCTTCGTCAATGAAAATACAGTTTTGACCAAAGTCGAGCTTGTCTTTATACTCCTCTGCCCACTCGAGTCGCTGTTTCTTCAATTCCTCCAGACTTCTTCTCAACGCCCATTTAGAAATACGTTTGAGACTAAACTTACAGACCTTGGTGACGAAGTTATAGATTGTTGTAGCCTTGGCTCTTACATTGGTGAATGCTTTCTTGAGTGTTTCCAACATAAAATCGAGAGTTACTGTAGCATCCTCCTTTATCAATTTTTGAAGGAATTCCTTATGCTCATCAGTGAGAAGGGGCTTACGACCTCTTTTCTTTGTTGGCTTCGGGATACCATTCAATTCATTAACAAGTATTTTGTTCCAATTTCTTTTCCATGTGTGGGCAGTTTGCAAAGGTATATCTTCTAAATTTGCAGCCTTGTAAGCTGATACGCCTTCTTCCATGACCAATTGCCAAAATCTTTGTTTGACAGATTGGTTATAATACCGATACGAACCTCTATATCTTCGTTCTTTCACTTCTGTTTCCATCTCAGCATCCTCTTCTTCTTCTTCTTCGAAAATAGGATCAATTTCCATAATACCTGGTTTTTCAAAATGCTTATAATCACTGTAACTAAAGCAAGCTTCAACTGGTGCTATTTCAGACTCCAAAGTCATTTCTCTAGGTTGAGTATAGAATCTATTACCTAGGCCATCAACATACCCATCAGTTAGCAACTTGGCTTTCAAGTCCATACTTAGTTTTGATAGTAAAATCTTATGCTTTTTTTTGTAAATAATCTGGTGATCACATAAAGACCGAATTGGAGAACAGAAGTGGGAATGTATCATCTTATATGGAGAACTGCTCCTACCATACATCCGTTCCCATTTCTTGAAAACCGTAATCACGTGCTATTATTAATAATATTATAGATATCCGGTTTTGTAGAAAGTAGCACATAATTATGGAAAAAATGAGTATTTTTTGATTAAACTGAGTAACTTAGAGGCTTATAGAACCATTCATATGAAAAGAAAAAAAATTGATATGAAATTTATTTCCTGTTGGTATAAATAAATAAAGTGCAATGGTATGAATTATTTTTCTTGGATGGTATGAATAAATCCCGCTGCGGTGGTACAAAAAATACCGGGGGTCGGTATGAACTTTTTTTCGCCACTGGTATGAACATTTCCGGTTTTTAGTACGAATAAAAAATGAAATCACTGTATTGCCTAAGTCCTGACAAATTTTGTTGTTCTATCTGAATCATGCAGGAACCTAATTATTTAGCAAAACTTTTTATCTTTCTCACTTCTCATTACTTATTACTGCGTCTAAACACGTTACTGTTATTCAGAATATATATATAGGGTTAAACATCCCAAATTAATTATCGTCATGGGAATAAAATACTAGCGGAGTTAAATAAGAATATATTATTATATCTCTATAAATTACAACTACAAAAAAAAAAATAGATAATAAAACTGGCGACAATGAGAGTTATCAATAAGTTAGTGTTAGCTAGCGCCACTACTAACGCTTCCACGCTATATTTGAGTAACAAGCAATTTGAAACTGGCAATAACATTGTTAGCGCCTATGGTCTAACAGTAAACAGAGCTGTACTTACTTATAATACTTATAATAGTACCAATATGACAAAGAGGTCGGGTGTGTCTGTCGCTCAGGAATTTAACCTGGATCTGGCATCATTGGTTGTCACGAGTGCAGCTGGCTTATGGACGTATGCGGGATATGTCGGCTGTACGGCATGTATTGTACCACCGTTTGCAGGTATACCTGCTTGTGCTATTTGTGCTGGTGCACTCATAGGTGCGGCTCTAGTGCTAATTGCGGATAATAACGCAATTAACAGCCAGGCCACAGGTACGTACAAGGTGAACTTTCAAGCGTCCACAACCTATCCAGTGAAACGAGAACTAGGCGGTAACATATTTAATGCGGATCCACTGACGATTGAAAAGGGGGATTTGGTAGGTTATACTTTGACTGTTAATGGTAAACGTCATAATTATGTGTATATTCAGGATGGTAATGCACCAAGGACCGCCAATGAAATGCATAGCTTGGCACAGAGCAAGCGGGGTCAGCTGAGCTATAAACGTGATGAGTATGAGATATCATGGATATCATGGTCATATGATAACAATAATGAAGAATTATCGCGCAACTGGTTCAATCAGTTAATGAGTGCAGATAGTCAGGATTGGTTCGGTGACCACGTAGCGGCAGTCATGGCAATGGGCCCTACAACAAAGTATTGTATCAGTGCGGTGTACCCAGGTCAAGGCAATGCATTCCACGGTGAGATATACACTAACAATTACGGAGGTATTGACCTGTTTTGCAATGCCGATAGCGACAACTTTGATTCAGGCGCAACGTGCACTGGGTGGCTAGATGAATCATCAGGGGCACTGTGGGGCTGTGTAGTGTGACTGGCAATAGTTGTTATATTATGGGATCATGGGGGTATCTGTTTCTTAGCATTATTTTATTTAGGAGGGGATTTATTATTATTTTATATTAACCTTAAGATGAGGGAGGAGATTATTATTTATTATTGTTTGTTTTTTCGTATTTTGATTAGATTATTTTGTATTATTATTATTATTATATACTATAGAATAATTGTAATTATAGTGAAAGAAGAGAGAGTACAAATGGAGGGGTATGTTTACCACTTTACACCCGGAGGGTGTATACACCCCGAAAAGGGGTGATGGAGGAGAAGGAGGAAAGAGATGTTATCTAGATATAGATATTGATATTGTTTTTGATATTGATATGGATATATATAATATATAAAATATAATATATAAAATATATATATTTATTTATATAATATAATAGATAGATAGAGATATAACTATATAGTAATGCTATATAGACTGATTAAGAGGAGTGTTGTATCGTATACACAATGTTTATATAAACAAATATATTGAGTCCTGGTTACCATAGGTGTGGTACCTTATCAAGTATCGCCTTATCTCTCATTCCCTTATCTATTACTTCTTATCTATTACTTCTTATCTATTACTTCTTATCTATTACTTCTTATCTTTACTCTCTCACCTTTGTTAATGGCGTTCACCACTCCATTCTTATATTTAACTATTTTATTATTTGAGGATTCAACACTCCTTATTATTTGAGGATTCAACACTCCTTATTATTTAGCCTTTATTTGAGATTAGAAATAAAATGATCTTTGTGATCTCCTATTTTGAATATTCTTGGTTGGGACCAATCACCGACAAGATTGCAAACGTTATAATAGTTGTGTTAAGTGTGTTTAGTGTGTTTAGTGTGTGTTTAGCAAGGATAGCGTTAGTAAGCTGAGCAAAGCTCGAAACGCAACAAAATCCAATCAGACGAAGAAAAATATATATATTCTTCTTCCCCTTTTATTACTATTTTTAAAAAGAATTGTCGGGACAGGACTGTGTTAGCAGTCAGGCCGTCTTGTAGTGATCCTTCAGGAACACTAGCGGAGGGGTTAGTGGAGGAGTTAGCAGACATTACGTTAAGATAGATATTGTGTGGGTTCTAAGTTATATATTCTTGTCTCTTCTCTACATTCTAACTATATGCTTTTCTAGGATAACTGTATCCTTAAATAGATCAGCTTTCTCATAGGCCACCAGTCTACTATCGTACATAGCACGATTATAGTCACCCTACTTTCATCTTATTTTGTTGTCCTTATTTTTATCGTTGACAATTCTTAACCCCTTTATTATGTTAACTCATAACAATCAATTAATTATTCACCCATTTTATTTATATTAAATAATCATATACCGTACTGTGTTTATACCTGCAGAAGTCAGTGTCATAGCAAGTTGTTATATCCCGAACCATTCGTCGAGTTGTGAGTTCATCAAATAGCTAGAAATAGCTACAGACTAATTACTGTGATAGCTATTTGACTTTCGTTCTACTATAATTAACGCGAGATCAGCGAAGATAAGTATTATTATAGTATAAGGAATAACCTTCATCCTTATTGGTATTATTCGCTTTTCCACGTGATTACCGAAACAAAACCAGGATAGGTTATTGCATATGCTCTTACATAGCAATGATCAGTACCACCAGAGTGGTATGTCCTGACACAATAGTCAATAAACAACTGTTCTGGCTTGAAAGAATAATCAAAGTGTAATAGTACACTATATAATATATAGTGTACTATTAGATATTATCTATAAACCGACATTTAGTTCTCCGTCTATCCCAATCATGAATTCTGAAACTATTCCAACCTCCAACAACGCCTCCAGTGACCATACTGTAACTGAACCAGCTCAACATATTTATTAAATCAAAATTTGATTGGAAAAAAAAAATAGGCAGATAGGGAAGGGTTAAATACAAAGGAAATAATAATATGTAGTTGACTATAACAATGATAATAAGGTTTGCTGATATATGTAAAATATCTATTGAGTCTCTATATGAATCAGATTTAGAGAGGAATATTTTACGCCTGATATGGATATTTTGCCACTAACCTAGTGCAGATTGTTTTCATGCACTGTCAATAGTGCTATTTTAATACAAAGCAATAAACAAATATTCCCCTGAACCCATGTATCGAGAAGCTTCCACTATTCACCAGAACTAATGGGACTGTCACTCAAGGATTTCGTTTTTTGAATTCAACGTTGACTTTTAGAAATCAAATAAAACCAATTAATCAAAATTTCTAATAATACATTTCGACCAAACCGGACCAATCACTAAACTAACTCTTAATATAGTCTGATAATAACTTACTTGCTACATTTGATTGTGTAATCTTTTCAAGTGTTTAAAGACTATTTATGTTTCCACCTTTTATCACCCTTCAGTATCATGCTGACTGTCATTAACATGGACCAAAGTAACATACTGAAATCGACTCTGGCATATGATCTTGTATATTTGGGTTAGAATTGTGGATATTCTAGGTTTACGCATATTTGTTGCTCTTTCCAGATGTTATATTTACTCTGCGCTGTAGGTTATAGGATTACCAGATCCTTGAAGATTGGAAACTGTTCAAAATCTCTAGTTATTTATTTTGACTTATTTTAAATGTAAAGACCATAATTTTTTTTTATAGTGTGGCCAACACCATGGGACTATTTGCATTTTGTTTTATTCTTTCTTTCTTTAATTTATGTATGAACCTTCCTGGATCATATCTCCTTTATCATCATTCATATTTTCAAAAATGTGTACATCAGCAAAAGAAAGAGCGGCAACTAAAAAATAAATATCCCAGCTTCACAATACTGTTGTTATAGATCATTGGATAAAAAATATTTTAATTTATGTCAAAATAAAAACTTTACATACCAAAAGAACGGGTCTATGTGCTTCCAACTTCAAAAAATAAACGACCTCGGTGAGGATCGAACTCACGATCTTGCGATTAACAGTCGCACGCCTTAACCAGCTTGGCCACGAAGTCTTATTGTTGTAGTATTACACTCTGCTTCTTGTGGAGTCGCTTAAAAAGCTACTCAAAAATTCAATTGAAAAAGGGATTCCTGAAAAATATCAACAACACATTCCAATTAGAATTAAGGATTTTGACCATACTAAAGGAAGTAAAAAACAACGGGAAAAACAAGATGTGGACAAGATGTCAAAAACACTCATGGATATTACTGGGGTGAATCAGAAACAAGTTGATAACTTTTGGCATAACCTCAAAAAATTCAACCAACATTTCCCGGGGAAATATCAAAATATTCACATCTTTCATTTGGGCATTGAAAATCACAATTACGTAAATAATCATTGTGACTATTGCAGCAAAAAATTAACCAGATATGATGAACCCCAATATGCCCCAAAGGAAATCCAATTTGAAATCATGAAGCACCATCTTATTGAATGTCCATTGGCCCAGAAACTTTGGAAAAAAACTGACTTGAATATCCCATTAACCTGGCAAACAATCATTACCCCTGCCACCAACATGAACGAAACCAGAATGATCGATAGATATCTAGGTTTCCAACGAAAATTATCAAGATTGAAATCCAAAAGGCATTTCAATTGTCATATGGCCGTTGATTCAATGATCTTCTTGCTTGAAAGCAATATCTTTTAAGCGGAGAAGAAAAAATAGGTGGGGAAAAACAAGAAAATAAAATCAAAAAAAAAAAATAAAATCAAAAAAAAAACAACAATTAAAAACCTTAAAAACGCATAAAAACATTTTTTCTCAATAATAGGGTTTTTCACCATTAATGGTTTTCCCTTAACACTTTAATTTTCAAACTACATTAAGTAGTTTATGAGATATATAGTTATATAATTAATTAATATATTGAATTTTGTCTTTAAAAAAAACAAAAGGTTGAAGCCAATGAAGATTGGAATTGAAGATTTGAAAAATTCAATTGAAAAAGGGATTCCTGAAAAATATCAACAACACATTCCAATTAGAATTAAGGATTTTGACCATACTAAAGGAAGTAAAAAACAACGGGAAAAACAAGATGTGAACAAGATGTCAAAAACACTCATGGATATTACTGGGGTGAATCAGAAACAAGTTGATAACTTTTGGCATAACCTCAAAAAATTCAACCAACATTTCCCGGGGAAATATCAAAATATTCACATCTTTCATTTGGGCATTGAAAATCACAATTACGTAAATAATCATTGTGACTATTGCAGCAAAAAATTAACCAGATATGATGAACCCCAATATGCCCCAAAGGAAATCCAATTTGAAATCATGAAGCACCATCTTATTGAATGTCCATTGGCCCAGAAACTTTGGAAAAAAATTGACTTGAATATCCCATTAACCTGGCAAACAATCATTACCCCTGCCACCAACATGAACGAAACCAGAACGATCGATAGATATCTAGGTTTCCAACGAAAATTATCAAGATTGAAATCCAAAAGGCATTTCAATTGTCATATGGCCGTTGATTCAATGATCTTCTTGCTTGAAAGCAATATCTTTTAAGCGGAGAAGAAAAAAATAGGTGGGGAAAAACAAGAAAATAAAATCAAAAAAAAAAAAAAAAAATAAAACAATTAAAAACCTTAAAAACGCATAAAAACATTTTTTCTCAATAATAGGGTTTTTCACCATTAATGGTTTTCCCTTAACACTTTAATTTTCAAACTACATTAGATAGTTTATGAGATATATAGTTATATAATTAATTAATATATTGAATTTTGTATTTAAAAAAAAAAAAAAAGAGCTAGGTTCCACCAACACTCCAGACCGCGCCCAATCAAAGCCCTTAAAGCTTCAGATGGCGCTTTATTGACATCACAGCAAGACATGCTTCTAGAAGTAACCAATTACTATCAAAAACTCTACGATGGATCTCGTGGTTCAAAGAGCTCGGAAAATATAGAAAGGTTCATAAACGCCTCCTTGGGAGATCAGTTACCACTAACCAACACTGAATCCAACAACTTGAACAAACCAATCACCATGACAGAATTGGAATATGCCGTTACTGAATCCAATACTCAATCCGCCCCCGGGGTAGATGGTATACCATACGGCGTTTATAAGTCTCTCTTTCCTCAGATAAAACACATACTTATAAAAGAATTTAACCAAATTCTTTCTTCAGGGGAAATTCCATTCAACTATCGAACCATAAAATTCACTCTCATACCAAAACCAAACAAAGATGTTCAAAAAGTGGAGAATTACAGGCCCATAGCATTAATCAACACAAATTTGAAACTCTTTTCCAGCATCATCAACACCCGTTTGCTCCCGTTCTTGCAAAAAATTATCGGCCCAAATCAAGTTGGTTTCATACCTGAAAGATCCTCCTTCTCTAATATAACAATTTTCGGTGACTTGCTTTCCAGTTTAATATCCCCACAAGACAAGCCACATGTCAATCATTCTACTAACCACCGAATCATGCTTGCTGACTTTGAAAAGGCTTTTGACCAGATTTCCCATCTATACCTTAAAATATTACTTCGAAAACTCAATTTTGGCAAAATGACGGAAACTATTCACGCTATCCTTACCAAAGCCCTCGGAACCATTTGCCTAAATAACATTACAGGCCCTTCTTTCCCATTAAGAAACGGAACCCTTCAGGGCAACCCACTTTCACCAACAATTTTCGCGTTAGCCCTTGAACCTTTTCTAAGAGCCATCCAAAGATTAAATAAAGGATTCAGTTACAACCATAAGATCCAACCAAACATCATCCCCAGAGTCAAATACCTTGCCTATGCAGATGATGTTACCTTATTTTTGAGAGATCATAATGACTTCAAAAACACTATGAAGATAATTCAGGCGTTCGAACAAGTCAGTGGTTCTAAATTAAACAAAAGCAAATCCAGATTAATTGTTCCATGCGATCAAATACCATTCCAGTCCGACTTCCAAATAGATATTGCTGACAATAATTATGAAATCCAATATCTAGGCGTTAAAATTGGGAACTCGTGTCAAACCTGGCCTAATACTCTCCAAAAAGACATCAGCACCAAATATTACATGACCAACATGAATTCACTACCAATATCAAGTCAAATAGTCGGATATAACACATATATCTTGTCTAAACTATATTACCACGAGATTCATGCACCTATGCTTCCAGACCAAATAGATTTGCTAGAACAATCCATCAAAAACCAGGTGAACAAAAAACTGAAAATCTCCATGGACACTTTAAAAACAAGCCCATTGAAAGGAGGATATGGCATGGTGGATATCAAAAGCCAATTGAGCTACCGCAAGGCAAAAATCTTTCAACAACTCTTTCTCCAATCTTTAAACCCATATTGCCAGTTACTCCGATTCAAGCTCCAACTAGCAATAAACATGATCATCAAACAAAATCTATCCGAGGAAGAGCAGTCGATACAAGGATATATAAAAACCCAATACTGGTGGCGGTTAATATTGGGTGACCAGATCAATATCAAGAATAAGAGAGACAGCAGGTCCATACTCAACCAGGTTATAAATCTTCCAATGTTCACCACAGCGGAAAAATGTGCTTTTGTGGCTTGGTATAAATTATTGTCCAAACCAATATCTCAACAACAAACATTGAACCCAATGAATATCAAACACTCAGACCTTGCCAAGTCCATTCAAGACGGTATACCAACTATCTATCAAATGGAGATCCCAAAACTGGTCATGGAGTTTGAACACAAACAGGGAAGCAAGAAAAAAAGAGCCAGAATTGATAAACATAAATTATCCACCACTTTAACCAAGATCCAAGAAGTCACCCAAACGAAACAAAACTCTTTCTGGAAGAGACTCCACAAATACCAACATAATAGCCCTGGTTACTTTGAAAACATACACATATTCCACTTAGGTGCTGAACAATTTTTTTACCAACATAGAAAATGTCACTATTGCGGGCTCGAAACCGTCTCTCAAGACCAACAACATGAATCACCAGAACTCCAAGTCAAGATCAAAATGACCCATTTCCTAATTCAATGCCCATTATCAACCGAGTTATGGTCAAGATTGAAAATCCCAATTCCATTAACATGGAATAACTTAATCGCTCCCAATCATTCAGAATCAACAATCAAAAAGATCGACCGCTATCTATGCTATCAACGCAAACTCTCACGCCTAAGATATCATAACCAAATTGATTGGAACACATCAATTAACAACTTGATTTATATCATTACTACTGGGAGCTGAATAGTCGATCAAAACAAAAAAGAAAAAAAAAAAAAAATTAACAAAAACAATAACAAAAAAAACATTTTATTTAAATACTAATAATTATCACTAAAGGGTTTTTCACCATATGATATGGTTTTCCCTAACATATATAATGAGCATTAGCTTATAAGATTTTACATAGATATATATAATTATATATTTATTAATAAATCGAACTTTGAAGGAAAAAAAAAAAAAAAAACAGATGTCAACAAGATGTCAAAAACACTCATGGATATTACTGGGGTGAATCAGAAACAAGTTGATAACTTTTGGCATAACCTCAAAAAATTCAACCAACATTTCCCGGGGAAATATCAAAATATTCACATCTTTCATTTGGGCATTGAAAATCACAATTACGTAAATAATTATTGTGACTATTGCAGCAAAAAATTGACCATATATGAAGAGCCCCAATATGCCCCAAAGGAAATCCAATTTGAAATCATGAAGCACCATCTTATTGAATGTCCATTGGCCCAGAAACTTTGGAAAAAAATTGACTTGAATATCCCATTAACCTGGCAAACAATCATTACCCCTGCCACCAACATGAACGAAACCAGAGCGATCGATAGATATCTAGGTTTCCAACGAAAATTATCAAGATTGAAATCCAAAAAGCATTTCAATTGTCATATGGCAGTGAATTCAATGATCTTCTTGCTTGAAAGCAATATCTTTCAAGCGGAGAAGAAAAAATAGGTGGGGAAAAACAAAAAAAAAAAAAAACAAACATCAACAATTAAAAAACTTAAAAACGCATAAAAACATTTTTTCACAATAATAGGGTTTTTCACTATTAATGGTTTTCCCTTAACAATTTAATTTTCAAACTACATTAGGTAGTTTATGAGATATATAGTTATATAATTAATTAATATATTGAATTTTGTCTTTAAAAAAAAAAAATTCAAATTATGTGATCACAAAGATGATCCTTTTCTAAACTAAATAAAGGTCAAAACAAAAGGAATGTTGAATCCTTAAATAAATAAAATGGTAAAACTAATAATGGGGTGTTGGACCCATTCTCGGAATAAAGGACTAAAAGGTAAGAGAATAAAAGACAAGAGATAAAGTGTGGGCCATAAGGTGATACCTCGATGAGATAATGTAGATCATGGTTTCGTATGGTACCATACCGTTGGTAACCAGGACTCAACGTAACCATGATCCTATAATATAACATGTAGGAGATTTTTGTAAACATTAAAATATGAAAAATTAGTGAAACGTTACCCGGCCCGAATATTATTCAGAACCTTTGTGACTCGCTAACACACATATCATTCATTCATCCGGATCACAATTTCTCCTAAAAAACCTTCAGACAAGTGGTATATGATCGTGCTATTCAACTTTAGAATAAATTTGCGCTGTTTTTCAGAATAAGTCATGAGTTTATTGTTGGATTTTAAATCTAAAAATTAAGATGATTATTATAATAATACAAAAAAGAGAGAGGAAAAAAGAAAGATTAATAAAAAAGAACAAATTTTTTTTTTTTGAAAATAAAAATTAGCAATTAAGGAGAAGTTGTTTGGAAAATAGTTAGGATAGGCCATGATTTTATCAAACAAGTCCTTCCTTGACGAACTTCTTTCTCAATCCACTAATGAATTCCAAAAACTTGGCAGGGTTTCCACCTGGACCCTTGGTATAGACATATTCGCCAGCAACTTGAGTACTAAAGACTCTTCTCATGTAAGCTTCTGGAACACGTTTAACCACACCTTCAACTCCACCAGGAACTTCATTCAATAACAAAGCTGGCAAAGCATCATTCAAGACAGCGTCTCTGAATGACAAATCTTCAGCCCACAAAGAATCTGATTCAGCCAAAGCATCGGCCAATTCGTTAATGGCAAAAGACAATTCGTCAGATAATTCAGAGAATGGCTTACCAGTTTCTTCACGAAGCTTCCACAAGGCATGGAATTCCAAACGAGCATTACGTTGGATGATACGTTGAACTTCCTTAACATAGTCTTGATAGAACTTTGGAGGTTCAGCAGCACCTTGAGCAATACACATCTTACTAAGGAAGGTTTCATCATCAAGTACCAATGATGCCATGACTTCTTTAGAAGAGGAAGTAACCCCACCCTTGTTAGTAGAAGCATCCTTGAACAAAATAGCGCCGGCATTTTCAAGTTCAATCTTGGCAGATTGGGTGATGAATAAGTTAGCACCTTCAACAATGTATGGAATAATAGATTGACCAGTCTTTTCATCAATCAAAGTATGGACGTTGTTGGTATCAATGGAAGCTGGACGACCGCCACATGGAACAAACAAATCAATGTGACCAAAAAGATCCTTCAAACGCAAGTGGAAAGTGTTACGGAAAACGACACCATTAGCAAAAGTGAGACCATTTGGCAATTTAACATCTTGGTCATCGACCTTGATAAGATACCCATCCTTGGACAACTTGGTGGTGTCATAATGGGAAATATCAAGTCTGGCCTTGGCAAGACGGACAAGCTCGGATTTATCCAAACCGTTTGGATCACCAACACAAGCTGGACCATCGACAATAGCAACGTAACGTTCAGCAGGTTTAGAAAGAAGAATTTCGTTGGAACCCAAGTCACCACTTGGACCACCAGTTTGGAACTTGGTGATCACTTTTTCGGCGGTAGTATTAGCATCAATATTCTTCTTGTTGTAGATTTCTTCAACGTAAGCACGGACAGATAAGGTGGTCATACCATAAGCGTCATGAGGAATACCCCCGAGAGATGGACTCTTACCGGTGAAGAAAGATTTCCACCATGGGGCACCTCTAGCTCTGGCGTGCAAAGTGGCCCAATCAACAAAGCCCGAAGTACCTTCATCAGGACCCATAAAGATGATTTCAGGGGTCTTGTAAAGGTCAACCACAGGTTCTTTAACTCCTGGGATATTGGAGACAATAAGAAGATCAATGATCGAATCAATATATTTTTCGAAAGAAGCACGAGGGCGGGTTTGAGCCACACCTGGGTCAAGAAGAATAACACCCTTACTAGATAAAATGTTAGTATCTACGAATCACAAAGCGAATCAATAACAAAATAAAACATACCTTCCACCTTCTGGAATATCCTTGTTCTTTCTTTGTTGAGTAGAAGCAAGACCATAATTTTCATCAATCAAGTTTCTTGCATTGACTGCATAAGCATCATCAGATCTAGATTGGACAACACGGATACCACCTCTAGCAATATCTCTGAATCTGATGTGGAAACCTCTAAACTCGGAACCAACAACGAAGAACATACCGAATGGAGCGGCAGGGTATTCTTCTTTTGGTAAGAAAGTTGGGTTGAGTCTAAAGGAAATGGCCACCTTGGTTGGGGTGTAGAAATTGGTCTTAAGAATGGATTTGTTGAAAACATAGAGGGCTCTTAAAACCAAAGCAGCGTGTTCGTTTTGAGAAACTTCTTTGGCAAGAATAGATTCGAAATGGGCATCGCTGCCGACGGTTGGGATGGTAGCTAATCTTTGGTAAGATAAAGTCTTTTCCATCTTAGAGGAAATGTAGTGAACGTCGGCAAAATGACGGTAAAGACGAGAAACAATATCACGGTACTTGACAAAGACTTCTTGGATAAAAGAAGGAGTGTAAGTTTCGGCTCTTAATCTGTGTTTCAAAGAGTTAAGGACTTCTTGGTGTTGAACAGACTTGGAAGGATCGAGCAAAGTGGAAAGTTTAGCATATTCCGGGCCCAAACGGTTGAGGAAGTGAGAAACGAAAATCGCACCACAGTGAGCATAAATAGACTCTTGTAAGGATAAAGCACCAGTGGCAAACAAACCATAAAATTCGTTGTTTGGTAAACAATACAAAAGAGAGGCTTCCTTGATGACTTGATGGACCGACAATTCAGAGGCAACAATGTTATCATTTGGAACAATGTAACAAGAGATGACGGTCATGCCATTAGCAAATTGTTCAACGTATTTTCTGGTTTCAGAAAGGTTGTAATATTGCAAAAGCGAAGTTAAGGCCGAGGAATAATTGGTAGAAGTTCCTTGTCTAAAAGCAATGATAAGACGATGTTCGGTGGAACTGTCAACGCGGTAGTGGTGGATCACCGGACCGGTGATGGCGACGGCTTCTTTGATGATCTTTTGGTACAAATACTTGGTGTTATCCGAGGCAATACGCAAGAATGTGGAATCACCAATGAGGTTCAAATCGGTGGTATCGTTAGAGACCTTATCCAAATGAGGGAAGCTGTTGCGGTAGACAAAGTAGAGACAAATGTCTTGGGCGGCGCTAGTTGGGGATTTGGAAGACAAGTGCAATGGGGCTTTGAAAGATTCAAGACGGTAAGACACGGTAGAAGCACTAGAGGAGTTCAAGTATCTTTCGTCAATTCTCTTTTCATATTGGGTGGACAAGTGTTCTGGGGAGTTTGGAATTGACGAGTCAAAGTACACAGCATGGTCATCGGCTTCACGACGAAGGTGAATGAATGGGACGTCGACATTACCAGAGGCGTATTGTTCCAACTTGGCGGCGTACAAGGCGTGTATATGGGAGACGATACCATCGACCGATTCACGGGAAAAGTAGACATCGTCGATACCGAGCGACTCGTAGAACCAGCGGGCTTCAGACTCGATCAATGGTTCAGGGATGAAGCCGGCCTTATCCAATTCGTCCAAGACGTGGTCAAATTGCTTGTCCTTGCCTGGGAAAGGGACTGGGACATAGCCGCTGGCATTGCTTTGCAATGACATGGCGGCGATGTTACTTTCGATGTTGAGACTCATGGTTGGAGGTTGTGGAAAGGGGGTTTGCTCCAAAAGGACACTGAAGACAGCAGCAATGAGGAGAGGAAGAAGAAGAAGAAGAAGCAGAGGGAGGAAAGAGAAGAGCGGTGGTTGGGTGATCTTTAATAAAGATGACAAGCGATGACCAAGAGAGTTTTCCAGAGACTGAATAATGTACCGGGGATCGATGACCGGAGAGGGGGTAGCAAATTTACGGTGATTTCCGGTGGTTTGTCCAGCACAACACGCACAGCAACAGTAGTAGCAACAACAACTGAAGGAAATGATATTGTTGGGGGCGGGGGAAATTGGGATTGGGATTGGAATTGGAAGGAATATCGACAGTATATTATATAAATACTTGTGATATTCGTACATACATCGTTATCTATAACCTTAGTGATTGGATGAAAAAAAAAGAAAAATAAAAAAAAAAAATCCTTTCCGAGGGTAAAATACGCTACCATTGGCTGCTAGGTTTAGTTCCGTCGTCCTCTGTTACATATGATCTGGTGGGATATTCTCGAGCAAAAACCGTTGTGGTCGATGGTTTTGGGGGTTTTTATAGTAACAGGCTTTCTTTCCTTCTGTTTCTCTCTGTTTTCATATAGATATTGTATATATTACTATCATATATTGTACAATTATTGACCCATCGGGGGTCACCAAAATTTTTCACTCGGTAACTGACGGGAGGGGGTGCATGACCCGTGTGTGTGGCAACAAAAATAGAGGGCCGATGACTCTGGCCAGACCATCGTCCATCATCGACGACAACAGCACGTTACACCCTTTGTGAACGGTGTGGTTGTTGCAACAATTATCTCTCTTTTTGTTAATCTCTCTCGTTGACACATTTTGGGATTTTTCCCGGAGAACAGAGACTTTTCATATTCAAAAGAAGGAGGTGCTCACACCCCTTGGTGTCATTTGCATGATCCAGCTGGACGGCGCGTTATCTATGGCGTGACTGTGACACTTTGAGAAAAGTTTGTGTGGCCATCCATGAATGATGATGGTGAGCCATTTGGTCCCATTTAGTTGGCATTTGGGTTCTCTATTTCTTGTGGAGGATACCCACGTGAAATATTAACACAGACAGAAAGATTCGCCAATTTTTGTTTTGTTTTCAGATCTATTTATTTATAAATGTCACTCCCGGTGATTCAAAGCGACAATGTCTTGATTGTTAAGTATCTATACAGAAAATAGTAAACAGGAGCACCGGTACTCCTTTTTCTGGTAGAATAATGATAATGATAATGATAATAATAATGATAATGATAATGATAATAATAATGATAATAATAATGATAATAATAATGATAATAATGATAATAATAATGATAATAATGATAATGATAATGATAATAATAATAATAATAATAATAATAATAATAATAATAATAATAATAATAATAATAATAATAATAATAATAATAATAATAATAATAATAATAATAATAATAATAACAATAACAATAGTAGTAGGATGATAGAAACAGAACAATAATCAAGACACCAGGAATAGAAAAAAAAGTAGGAAACAAGAGATAATCAAGCAGTAAGATCAACAAGGAGAGAAGAGATAATTAAGAACATGCGAAACAAGAATGTTAGAGATTAAAGAATATCTCTAATAGTATACGCTACACTTACATGTATACCTTGTATGTCTTTCTGTAATATAAGTGTAACTGCTGCCAATTATTATCCATTAAGCACCAGTGATATTGAGAGATATAGTGGAAAAACCGGAAAATCACGAATTAATAATCATAGATCACATTAGTATCATTATTATCGCACTCTTCATTAATTTCTCCCTTATCAAAATTGTTCGCCCACATTGCTCATGTTGGAAGGAAAAGAGAAAAAAAAAAAAATTCATGCCGTGCTGCAGGGCCTCCCCAACATTGGGGAATGTGCTAACCAAATTCCTCTTCAAATATATAACAAAAAAAAAAAATAGCCAAATCACAAGCTATCAAATAATAACAAAAAGAGATTATATAAAGTTATACACCACTATTTTCTGGCAACAACAACAACAACCACAAAAAAAAAAAAAATTCCAGCTTCTCTTTCCATTGTTACTATTGCTTTTTTTTTTTTTTTTTGCTGCTCTGACAATTTCCTATAGCGCACCGTCCAATTATCCATTAATTGTCCAGCGCCGTGGATGGCTTATCTCTCACACGACATGCAAAATATCCATGGATTCAGCTTCTCACTGAGAAAAATAATACCTTTCTCTTATCTTTTAAATTAGCTCAGACTTCGGTGCCCCATCCAATGACGGCTCCACCAAACAAATTCTTGCTGCATGTCATTTAATTTCTAAAATGTATTTAATAACAGAAGGGATTCCCACACTTTTTTTCTTCTTCTTATTCTTCTTCTGTTGTCCAAGAAACAACAGCGTTATTCCAAGCAAAGTTTTTCCATTTTCCACACCCAATCGTTGTGTTTGCCAAGCCTAATTTTTTTTTTTTTTTTTCAGGAGCCTTTCCAGCAACCTTCTTCTTTTTCTTTTTTTTTTTTCACTTTTTTCACCTCATCTCATCGCATCGCATCGCACCTCATATAAGTAAAAAAATTGATCCGCATATATAATATCATCAGGCTGATCCACCGTATTCTTTGTCCACTACTCTCCAACATTAAAGAATAGTCTTCAAAAATGCCGAAAAGTAACAACAACAGTCAAATTGAAATAAACAATCCTGACAAACGTGATTCAGACATCAATCCACAATCAAAAGAAGTCCGAGAAAAAATCAATGAGGTTTCTCCGTCCGACTCTGAATCACCTTCTCGTCCCCCAATAATTGAAAAGGGCGAATTTCAAGATGACGACTTGGCCGACCAAACCAGTAAACCATCACTAGCCCAAAGATTCAGAAGGATTTACGCTCGCTGCAAATGGATTCGTATTCCGTTATTTGGGGCATTTATAACTGCCTGGTGGATTTCCATTATTGTTCAGCCTAAACAACGTCATAGGTGGTTGATCCCAACAATCGTGTATCTCATGATTTTGCTACGTCTTGTCACCATTTACCTCCCCCTCACCAAATGGTTAATGAAAGGTTTGAGATTTCTTTGGATGAACGGTCTCAAGGTTCGTGATATGATTATCCCTGAAAAATTTAGAATATTGTCTGGTGCTCTTCTTACCTTGGCAGTAATGTTGATTGGGACCATGGTGCCTTCAGAAACTAAAGACTCCACTAGACTTCAGCGTTTCATTTCCTTTCTCGGGATTTGTGTTGCCCTTGTCGGGTTGTGGGCCACCAGTACCAACCGGTCCAAAATCAGATGGGTCACCGTTATCAATGGGATTTTGATGCAATACATCATCGCTCTTTTTGTGCTTAGAACAAAAGTCGGGTACGACATTTTTCATTTCTTATCTAGTCTTTCGGAAGAATTCCTTGGGTTTGCCAGAAACGGGGTGGCCTTTGTCACCACCTCGGAAATCGCTGCCCAGACCTACTTTTTCTTTTCTGTGCTTCCTGCCGTGCTTTTCTTCATTTCCGTGGTTTATATCTTGCTTTATCTTGGGTTCATTCAATGGGCCACCGGGAAATTCTCCAAGTTCTTTTTCTGGTCAATGAAGGTCAGTGGGGGTGAAGCGGTCGTGGCTGCTGCTTCTCCATTCATCGGTATCGGGGAGTCTGCCGTGCTTATCAAAGGTCTCTTGCCATACTTGACCACCGCAGAGGTCCACCAAGTTATGTGTTCTGGTTTTGCCACGATTTCCGGCTCGGTGTTGATCGCGTATATCGGTATCGGTATCAATTCCCAAGCGTTGGTGTCCAGTTGTGTCATGTCGATCCCTGCATCATTATCTGTGTCGAAACTTCGTTATCCAGAAGTCGAAAACTCGTTGACTGCCGGGGACTGTACCATTCCTGATGGCGACGAAAACCTCGATGAATCCCAAAAGCCTCAAAATATTCTTCAAGCGTTCTCCAACGGTGCCTATCTTGGGATCGTGGTTGCCGGTACCATTATGGCCAACCAAGTCTGTATCATTTCTTTTGTCGCCCTTATCAACGGGGTGTTGACGTGGTTTGGCTCGTTCTGGGGAATCCACAAACTTACCCTTGAAGTCATTGGTGGGTACCTTTTGTATCCGGTGGCTTTCTTCTTGGGTGCTCCATTCGATGAATTACTCCCAATTTCGCAATTGATCGCTACGAAGTTTATTGAAAATGAATACAATGGTTATACCGACTTGATTGGTAAAGCACCATACAACCAAATGAGCAAGCGTGGCCAATTATTGGCAACGTACTCGCTCTGTGGGTTCTCCAACTTTGGCTCGGTAGGTACCCAATTGGGGGTCCTTAGTACTTTAGCTCCAAATAAATCCAAAGTGGTTGCCCGCACCATTTTCTCTGCTTTGATCACCGGGGGTATTAGTACTTTACTTTCTGCTTGTGTTGCTGGTATGGTTATTCATGATTTGTCCGATTTCAAGGTTAGCAGTCATTCATCAACATGATCTGCGTATATATATATATATATATATACTGTAGTTGTTGTTCTCTTTTCGTCTTTTTTCTCTCTCTCTCTCTCTTTCTTTGACTATGTTTTTTGGCATTACACGTATGTCTCTTCCTCAACCAAAAGTTGTTCTAGATTGTTTCTGAGCTCTGTTTGAATTCTTTTCCTCTCTCTTTTCAGTTTTAATTTCTTGTTTTATTTAGCCATCATTAACCAACCGCTTGCTAGATCAAGCGTAGGTGTTTCAATTCTCTTTATTTTTCTTTTGTTTGCATCTATTTACAAAAAAATTACGTTTTATTTTCTTTGATATTCTTTTAATTGTAGGAGATCATTATTTTTACAAGATTCAAGTTTTCTTTTCTTTGTTATTATTATAATTGTAAGTGATCATCATTTCACTGCTTACATGTTTCAGTACAGTAATTATCTTTATTACAATTTATATAATATAATACAACAGGGCCAGCCAATTCAAATTACCAATAATTAAAAAAATAACATCCTTCAACCAATACTGACCCAATTGGCCCCACAGAAACAGAGTCTATGGAACGCCATGTCCCAATTATTGGTCGTTGACGCAGTTTTCTTGCGAAATCTAGGGATGATCTCTGCACTTTCATCAACACTAGAGATCGATCCACATCGAACGCACCGTTTTTCACGATAAACTTTCCGAACCCCTGTCAATGGGAACTGGTTTGCACGTTCCACAATCAAGTTCTTTCTTAAATAATCAATCTTCTCCCCACGATCATGAATATAATAAGGAGCCATAGGAGTTATCGCGGAACCGGGAATCACACTAACCCCTGGAGATCCCCGAGAAGACCTAGGTGACGACGACGAATCATCATCCTGTTCGCCATCCCACAACCCAAGCCATTTGAGATCGTAAAAAAATACCTTCGATCGATCCAAATCCTTGCATAAACTATCGTTGAAAAGCTTGAGGATGATTTTTGCGGCATCCATGAGCTCTTCAGGGATTTTCCCCTGGCACACCAATTTCTGCTCGATCACTAATGGATCAGACGTCGTTCCTTTAGCCTTCTTATAATTCGTTATTGAGGACTTCACCGCATACTCAACATTGCCTAAAAATTTCTCAAACAATTCTAAATCTATTAACGAATCATTAATGATTTCCCTGAGTCTTTCGGTGGCCGCGAATACCACATTATCACTTCCCAACCTAAACTCTTCAATGAACTTCGAGGCAAATGAAAGGAGTTGTTTGAAACCCTTGATGGCATTGCTCAAAATGACCCTTGGCACTTTGGCCATAAGAATCGGCATTGCCAATGATTCCATGAACGCTTGTTGGAATCTTCGTTGATTTCCTGCCAGCAACATCGTTATACCCAAGAAATCTTGGTATAAAAATACAATGAAATTCATGATCCATTTGACGACCCCAAGCACACTGGCAATGACTTCGGCACGCCAATTGATATTCACAAATTGCAATGTCGGCAAGTTTTTGTATTTGAGGTCTTTTTTCATCATCGCGATTTTTTGCATATCTTTGAACCACGCTTTCAAAGTGATCATGATTCCAAAAGCACACGATCGTAAATTGAGCACCGCCCAGGCGATTTTCCCGGATTTGGTCCGAGTCCATTTTATTCCTGTTCCCAAAGACATTTGCAACCCAATGAGTTTTTGCAATGGTGGATTGCCAAGTAACTTATCTAGTTGGTCATTGGCGTAATTCAACGAGAACTTCAACGCAGCGTGCGATTCCTGGTTTATGGTATCGATGAGGGAATCTTGATGTTGAGTACTTTTGTATTTTGATATTTCGAGCTGGGCCGCAGCAATCAAGTCATCACAGCACGAACTGGCAAAACAACTTTCGGAATGACTAACTGCAAACGCCGCGCTCACCGTCAATCTCTCACCAAACGATAATGACGCGCGATCTTTTTTAGAGCTCGATTCCGCGAGCTTAAGAATAAGAGGGGGCTGCTCCTTGTTCTTATCATGCATAAGATAAACTGCGGCAGCAAGGTTTGGTGAGAGAAGGACAAAACTCGTCCGCTCCTTAATTTGGTGTATCTTGAACCCAGCATCAAATAACGACATCACATATTTCTCCTTATCATCATCATTTACCGCAGCACTACTCCCCCCGCATTTCTTTTTCAAGTTCTTCGCCTGTCTTAGTTCAATGGTACCATCTTCAAGAACGCAATAAACAAACATGTTACGACCAACGGTGTCAAAATGACTAACGTGTTTTTCAAACTGCAACATCTCCTTCAAAGAAAGGTGCCGTTCAATACTTGTTGAAGTATCTTGATTTTTCACTCCTGCACTATTTTTGAAAAACATATTTTCTTGATTCAACACCATGCTGCTCAAATGATACCGATGCAAAGTAGACCCACCATGGGGTTCATCGAATACCAAATAAATATCCTGTTCGGCATCGCTGGTGTAGTTTGAAGAAACTACTTTGATATGGTTCAATTTTTGTGGGGACCCCGCTAACCCAAGAGGAGGAATGTATTCTTTTGCAACTCTCTTAACTAGTAACTTAGGGGGTACCACCACATCGTCTTTTCGCTTCTCGTTGCCATTTTTTTTCAAACTTCCCCAGTCAATGCTCACCAAATACACTTTAAGAAGCCGTGAGAATGGGCTGTAGGTAACTAGCAATATCGAGCCACTTCTCTGAAACCCTAAGTTTGCGTGGGATAATAATGCGTTTTCATAGCGACTTGCATCGCCGGGTTCATCATCAAGAGACACCGTAGATCTCAAGAAATTCAACCTATGGGTTCCTTGGTACCACAAGCATAGCTCGCCATTTCTTCTAATCCCAATACATGCCTGCTTGGTTGCTACTGGGTGGGAAAATCCAAGCGGTACTTGCGGCTGATACTTATACCGGAATTGGAAGGTCGCCGGTTCATTCTGAAGGTCTGTTTTCACCGTGTCCGAGGATAATGCGACTTTGGAGGCTGGGACCACTCCGTAATTGTTCTTGTGGGTTGGTAGCCACTCAAACCCTATTACTCTGGTAGAATAATCACCACCAAAATACATTCCTTCTCCTGCCTCTGTGATGGTTGTTGTTGACGGACGGTGATTGTGAGAGAGGCCACGAAGACGATCCTTCGGATCACTTGTTGTTGTTGACATTGGGGATTTCCTTGGAGATTCGGCTACTGTGTCATTGTATAATACCACAAAGTCATTGAACGGAGAGTAGTTATATTGGTCATTAGTCTCTTTGCAAATGCCCCCACCCAAAATCGTCATATTGCCATGAGTGTCAAGACATCCAAGATAATCCCCAACGGTGCTCCATTCAAGATGTGACACTGGTGATAAGTTGTCATCACTTCCCTTCACAGTATTTCCATTTCTTTTCAAGCCATTGGATGCCTCAGCATTGACCGGTGGTTGGATTGCAAAAGTCTGAGGGTCGGCAAGCTGCCACATTTTCCCATCAACAACTTCCATATGGGTGATCCCAACATTATACGCTCCTCCAGGATTGGCGTAGGCAATGAAGCCATGTTTGGACCACGCAATTGTCTTAGTATACGCTGACATATCGGTGGAGCGGTGTGGATGAAGGTGCTGATGATGAAGACTGCAATTTGTGGATTTTTCAAATCATCATCATCATCTGGCTTTTGTTTTTCGTCCGCGGAGTGCGCCGAGACTGGAATTACATAACAACAACAATATAAAGCATTAATAATAGTAAGAATATACCTAGAAAAAGATTAAAGAACAGCCCAAAAAATTGGAAGAAAATGTCATATATAATGTAATGTCATAACCAGTCATTAGAAAAATAGCAAAAGGAAACAAAAAAAGAAAAAAGAAAAAAATTCATCTCAAGTTTCAGCAACATCATCAATCTCTTGATACAGAATATCATCCCCCTTTTCGTCTCGTCCTTCTCTTCCAAACTCTTCGAAAAACTTATGCAGTAAGGCCTCATCTGCTGAATAACGTTTACTGTAGTTCAACTCCATTAGACATTTCAATAAATGGAACCCAACCTTATGTTTAACCCCCATTTCCGAATCATCGACTGATCCATCATCTGAAAGACAATTCAATGTATCAAAGGCAACACTATCTTCCGGGAAAGTATTGGCCTCTTTTTCTATATTCAACGCGTAAAAGACAATTTCGCTAAGACTTCGCGAATTGTCATTCAAGGTGGGTAGATTTGTTTCGAACCCTAACCCGTGCAACGCCGCACAATGCTTCATTAAATGAACCCCGAAAATCGTCGTCAATTCCACTAGCGCATCGACGTCATCATTAGAGTCGAAAAATGGAAAACGACGAGCTAGCAACGATAAAAGAATCACCCCTGCTGACCATATATCAATCTTGGTGGTTTGGTTTGGACACTTGAGCAACACTTCTGGAGCCCTGAACCCTCTGGTTCCCGCACGGTTGGCCCGGCGCGCAGGACGGTCGTCATCTTTTGGGTATCCTTTACCTTCATTGTCGGTGTAATCTGATAAAGACAACCCGCCGCTGATACACGCACAAGTGTATTTGTGCTCATGAGGATCGCGGACTTTTTCCGCCAAACCAAAGTCCACAAGCACTCCACGACGTGTGGCGGGATTAAAGAGGAAATTGTTAGGTTTGACGTCTCGATGGATCACTCCCCGATCATGAATGAATGATAGGGCTGACAAAAGTTCGTACATATAAATCTTTATCCCATTAAATGGTAAATCACGATAATAATCCCGATAATCTGCATGTTCACAGTACGGCAATACAATAACAATTTGGTCTTCGAATCGCACCGCATCAACTATTGGAATGATGTTCCGACAACCCAGAAGGTTGTAGAGGAATTTAAGCTCACTGTAGATCCGCTGAGGTGATGAGGTGACATAGATTTTTTTAAGGGCCACAAGGGGGAACTTCTTTCGCGAAGTGATATCGTGCTTCAGTCGATGGATTTTGATCACTTTATTGGAAATTCCTACCAAGTCTTCAGCTTTGTAAACCGATGAAAATGTCCCTTCTCCAATTTTTTCAAGAACCTTGTATCTTCTGGAAATGACATGAAACTTATTTTGAAGCTCCATAATTTCTTCATCCTCAATCCTGAGAGCCATTTCGCATTCTTCTTGTTTAGACTTGGAATTTTCTTGCAACGGTTTTCGATTTTGTGCTAGTTGTTCTTGGACTGGTTCTGTTTGTAATTCTTGTAGCTTCTGAACTGGTAAATTTGTGTGATTTGGTGATTGTTGAGCCTGGTCTTCTTGCGATGGTTGGACTTTCAAAGTATTTGATGATATCTTTGTTTCAACCTGTTGATTATCTGTTTTGCTGCGCCGTAATTTCGTCTCTTCTTTCGGAATTACGTCTTGGATCCCAAAAGTAGGTTCTGTATATCCAGTGATTTTGCTCAAATTTCTGTATGAAGATACATATTCAACATCATCTTTTTTAGTATCCCCGCGCAGCTGTTCATTTTTATTCACAACTGGGGATACATAATTATTAATATTTCCCGTGGTTGCACTTTTTGAATCTGGTTTTATCAGGAGATTGGCGGTCTGTATTATGCCATCATCATCTGGCGGTTTTTGTGAAGGGTTCACAGTGATCTCCCGTCTTTCTTTCGATTGAATGTCAACTGAGGGCCCATGAGCAGCAGTACGACGCCCTTTTGAAGGAGAAGAATTATCTTGATAGGTTCCAGACTTAAGTGGCGATGTCTTTTTTGATGACGATGGTTTTTTACTATTAGTATTCCGGAGCCTGATCTTCAATACCAACTTCTTTTGGGGACTAGGCAGGTTGGTTTTAGAAGGAGATTTCCGCAGCGAGGATGGTTTGGACACCTTGCTACGCGATGGGACTTTAAGAAACCGCTTGATACTTCCAAAGTCCTGTTCATTAAGGGGTTTTCGACGTTTTGCAGACTTAATGGTGCTACTGGGAGACACCTGGTATTCATTGTGGTGGTGTTTATTGTGGTGGTGTGCTGGGGGTATTCGTGATTTAGTGGGGGTCTTTGGGGTCTGGTTTAAATCGACCTCAAAGCAATCACTGGTCGTCAACATCATTATCCTTTCATCCAAAAACAGCAGGATTTCATTGACAAGCAGTTACAAAGTCGCTATGAATTTACGCGTTTAATTGAAAATAAATAAAATTTTTGTCACGTTTTTGGCGTAGGTTTTTTTTTTTTTTTTTTTGGGGGGATCTTTCTATATATGTCAGGTAATGGCTATACACTATATTCATTAATAATAATAGCTTCAATATCTTCTAATGCAATTGAATATTGGTTCTGGGATATTATTTCTTCTCACATTGGGCTTTGTTAGTAGTACAGCATTGACGGTGCTGTTGCAGCCCCACGAGACTTTGTGTTACTACGTGTTGACAGTTGCCAAAGACAGCAGCATTGGATTCTACTTTGCTGTCCAGTCTGGGGGCAGTTTTGACATTGATTTCAAGGTCAAGGACCCAGAAGATAAGGTTTTGATCTCTGGGGAAAAGGAGCGTCAGGGAGATTGGACTCTCAAGGCGGAAACCCCGGGAGAATATGAATTTTGCTTTGCCAATGGGATGTCAACTTGGGCTGATAAGGTGGTGGATTTTGAAATCCGAGTAGATGACGATTTCCGGGCGGAATTGCCAGAAGTCAAGAAAGTTTCCACTGGGGAGAAAGAGCCGGTTGATGGCATGGTCTTCTCGGTGTCAAGTATTGAAGATAAATTGAATAATATGTTGAGAACATTGCAATATTACAAGACTAGAAATAGCAGAAACCAGCATACAGTCAAGTCAACTGAGGAAAGAATTCTTTGGTTCAGCTTACTAGAAATTCTCCTAATGTGTGGGTTGGCTCTTTTCCAGATTTCTGTGGTTCATTTCTTCTTCAAAGGTTCCAGAAAGCAAATGGTTTGATCATTCATACCTTTGATAGTTTAATTCTCTTATTACTCATTCGAAGCTTTTTCTTTCTTTCTCCTTCTTCTTCTGTTCATTTATCATTTTTGGTTCGTTATAGTATAGGACTCCTTTGTTTGCCGTTTGTTCTTTATATCTTTCTAACATTTCTTTCTTGATGAACATGATATAGGTAACATATAAATTGCATTTCAACATTTTATGTTTTCTTCACTGAATTTCCAACAAAATATATTACATTTAATTTATCTCAATTAAAAAAAAAATGTTTATTAATAATAGACTTTAGAAAACGTGAGTCCAGTATCCAGATAATTGTCCCTTATAATGGTTGACATTGTCTCTTCAACCAGTTTAATGTGACACAATCATTCTTCAATTGGCTATTGAACTCCCTCCAAATAGAATCATGATATGAATTAATATGTTCAATCTCTTCTTGTAACAACAAGCTAGTATCAATCAATTCACGACAATAAGGAACCCTAGTCATGTTGACACATTTCAAAAATTGGTCAAACTTCTCATCCCTTGTCACGTAAACCACATTCTCGATTCTAATACCGTATTCGCCAGTCTTGTAATACCCAGGTTCGTTAGAGATCACATTACCTGCTTGCAATGGATATTTCGCATAGTGAGGTCTGAACCCAATCCCTATTGGTCCTTCATGAACGTTAAGGAACGCCCCCACCCCGTGAGAAGTACCATGTTTATAGTCAAGGCCCTTCCTCCACAAAAATTGTCGGGCAATAGAGTCAATCATGTATCCGTTGGTACCTTCTGGGAATTTCAAGTTCTCTATCGCGATATTCCCCTTGAGGACTAAGGTATAGTTCTGTTTTTCTTCTTCTGATGCCTGGGTGAAATGGTAGGTACGGGTGATATCAGTAGTACCTTCGAGATACTGCGCACCAGAATCATTGAGATAAATCTTACTTGGGTCAATGACAGAAGATCCTTCGACTGGCGGAGCATAGTGGATGATTGCCGCGTTACTTCCAGTAGAAGAAATGGTCTCGAATGACAAATCAACGTAATTTGGCTGTTCTTTACGGAACTCCTCTTGTCGACATGCCACGTCATGTTCATTTATAAGTTCTTCTTTGTTCACAAGTTGGTCTTCGAGCCAGGCAAAGAATTTAATACATGCAATACCGTCCTTTGAATGAGCCACTTTAAAGTTGCTAAGTTCGGTGCTATTCTTGACCGCCTTAAGGAGTTCAATTGGCGAGTCAATAAGCTTGAACTTAGATTTCAATTGTTGACAAACTGCCCAGCTACAAGAATTTGGAACCAAAAATTCTTGGATATCACCGGAAATTGAGACTAATTCATCATAAAAGCTGGAGTATGGTTTCACCTCAATCCCATTGGTGGCCAAATACTCGGCAATATCGGCATTGTTGTCATCCAAGCGTTCTTGCAAATCACAAAAGAGAATATTCCTATCATTAGTCAAGATAAAGAAACTGTAAAAAATTGGGTTATATTGAATATCAGACCCTCTCAAATTCAATAACCACGCAATTTGATCCAAAGAGGTGACGACAAAATTAGTATGCGAGTATTTGGTTTTCAACAGGTTTCTGAGCTTGCAAATTTTCGAGCTCACTGAATCACCAGTAAAGTTCTCGGTGAGCTTCATTAATTTGGATGCCGGTCTAGTTGGAGGAATTTCAAATTGGCTCCAGATGGCATCGATCAAATCTCTCTTGACAGGGATGATGTCGATCGATGGTGGATTCTTCTCTAGCTTCTTTTCGGTGATGGTTTTATAAACTTGGTCTTTTAACTGTTTGGACAACTCAGAGTATTGGGTGTAATTAAACAATTTACTGTTGATGCCAATCTTGATGTCCAACCCACTATCTAAACTCATCTGAATGGCATTTAATATAGCCCATTCTTGCCAAGTCGGTTGATCCTTGACCCCTTGTTTCAATAATTTCCAGTTAAAATCCAATTCATTTTCTGCTTGAATGAAATATCTTCCGTCGGTACTCAAAGCACTTAAACCATCGGGAACGTCATTCATCGACATTGGATCTCTGGTAATCACAGCAATCCCTGCGGAACCAGAAAACCCAGAAATGAAGCTTCTTCTTTGATCTTTTGGCGACACGTACTCTGATTGATGCTCGTCTTCCGAAGGCACAATGTACACGGCAATATCCTCGCTCTTCATTTCATGTCTCAAGGCTTCCAATCTTTTGCTGGTGTTTATTTCTTTGGCAGTCTTGCAAAGCTCATCGTCTTCGCCTATCAAGCTTGCACGAGTGCTACTACGAGTTAAGCTGCCAGAAGTCGAACTTCTTTTCAAATTCATTCGTTTAGCAATGATACTAGCTCGTCTGTTTTGACGTGAGAGCAACCCTGGGGAGCAGACACAATTTGAACAGTTACGTGATAGTCTTGGACGAGCAGTAGAGTTCTCATGTCTTGAGGAGACTAAAGATAGTCTTGAAGTTTGTTGAACTAGTCTCTGACTCATGTTGTTGCTATTTTGTTGTTCTGGTCTCAGAATACATAGGTTTGTAGGTATCTTTCCATGGTTATTTTTTTCTTTTAATTTCTTTTTCCCAAAAAATTTGTGCGCGTGATCCTGGCATTGCTGCATTACATCATACCATAGACGCTTTATTGTGCATATGAGAATATTTATGGTCCTGTATAGGACCCGACGTCGACAACGCTGACATCTCTTTCTCATTTTAAGGTTAAAATACTTTAATGGACTATGGGAAGAAAATAGGAGAGATAGGCCTCGACTTACGCGATAACTGGTTGTTAATTATGCGAGGGTAACCTTCTGCTCTGGCTAAGGAAAATAAAGGAAGATAAACGGTGCTTATACAGCTGAAAGAATAGATAACTTGTTGAAATGTAGCTTTAAGTAAAGTGCAAGATCCAATAGTTTGATTTTGTCTTTTACTTATGTCGGAGTGCACCCCTGTGGTGGTTCCTTGTTGACAAATGATGCTTGACAATTACTAACTAACTCTGTACATCGCTCCAATACAATGCCAGTGGGTCGCAACCACTGAGCAATGTATACGGATATTCTAGATATAAAACGGCATTCATTTGTCATGAGAGGAAGAATTAATTACTTAAAGGATAGAGGAAGAATCACTCGATCTTATCTGAAAACTATCTACTAGAAGTAAACTAACAAATGAATAAACCAATCACCGACCCAAACTAATAACCAACTTTGTAATGGATACTTCATCTAATCCTTCCGCTTCAGCATCTAACAATGTTCAACTGCCGGATAGTCCTGGTACAGCCAGTACATCCCGACAACTTACCTTGAGGGTACTTTATGTGATTTTGTGTACTACAGAGGAACGATGTTTTTACGACGAAAAAGAGGCAGGACACTTATGTACAATAATTGCCGCCTCTTCTGGTTAAAGTGCCCTCTGCTGTCGCAAGTTCAAGATCTTACAATAAATGGGTCTGTAGGTCTTATACTAGGAAACAGATCATTAGATCTCTACTAATAAATATTATAGTCGTTGCTATCAAGATTATATTTACAGCCATTATTGGTTTAAGGTTGCTAGGTGTCGTGCTGTTTGTCCTTACTACTGTCCTCACTGCTGTCCTTATATTTCACATAATTATCTCCTATTCACATATGGACGCCGATATATCTATGGTGAGAGAGGAAAGTTGTTATTGTAGACTTCGCGCGAGTATGGCTTATAGTAATCCATCCGGTCTGTGGTGGCGGCGGATACAGTCTAAGAATATCAGATTTAAGATAATTCTGCATTAATACAAACAATAACTTAATAACTTAATAACGTTAACAACGTAGTAAAATACAATAATTGAATAATGTGCTATCTCTCTAAAATTAGTAGTGAGAAAATAAAACACTCTAGGGTGTTAGTAGCAAAAACTGTAAAAGTACGTCAAGTAAAAAGTTTATGTATATGCTGACATTCTCACTGAACTATACTGTATAAGAAAATTTGCATTTTTCCCATGGGTGTCACCAAAAAAAATTAATACCAATATTTGTGATCAGTATACCAGTAAAAAGGATTAGGCAATACAACAACGAACTCTTCTGTAAGAACATGACGTACTGATAAAGAGCTGTGTAAAACACCGAACCTGGGACTCGAACCCAGAATCTCCTGATTAGAAGTCAGACGCCCTAACCAATTAGGCTAGCCCGGCTATTGTGTTTTTGTTAAATTACGATGCGACTATACTAGATGTAGTTAGTAAGGAATTATTGAAAAAATTATCGGCCCAAATCAAGTTGGTTTCATACCTGAAAGATCCTCCTTCTCTAATATAACAATTTTCGGTGACTTGCTTTCCAGTTTAATATCCCCACAAGACAAGCCACATGTCAATCATTCTACTAACCACCGAATCATGCTTGCTGACTTCGAAAAGGCTTTTGACCAGATTTCCCATCTATACCTTAAAATATTACTTCGAAAACTCAATTTTGGAAAAATGACGGAAACTATTCACGCTATCCTTACCAAAGCCCTCGGAACCATTTGCCTAAATAACATTACAGGCCCTTCTTTCCCATTAAGAAACGGAACCCTTCAGGGCAACCCACTTTCACCAACAATTTTCGCGTTAGCCCTTGAACCTTTTCTAAGAGCCATCCAAAGATTAAATAAAGGATTCAGTTACAACCATAAGATCCAACCAAACATCATCCCCAGAGTCAAATACCTTGCCTATGCAGATGATGTTACCTTATTCTTGAGAGATCATAATGACTTCAAAAACACTATGAAGATAATTCAGGCGTTCGAACAAGTCAGTGGTTCTAAATTAAACAAAAGCAAATCCAGATTAATTGTTCCATGCGATCAAATACCATTCCAGTCCGACTTCCAAATAGATATTGCTGACAATAATTATGAAATCCAATATCTAGGCGTTAAAATTGGGAACTCGTGTCAAACCTGGCCTAATACTCTCCAAAAAGACATCAGCACCAAATATTACATGACCAACATGAGTTCACTACCAATATCAAGTCAAATAGTCGGATATAACACATATATCTTGTCTAAGCTATATTACCACGAGATTCATGCACCTATGCTTCCAGACCAAATAGATTTGCTAGAACAATCCATCAAAAACCAGGTGAACAAAAAACTGAAAATCTCTATGGACACTTTAAAAACAAGCCCATTGAAAGGAGGATATGGCATGGTGGATATCAAAAGCCAATTGAGCTACCGCAAGGCAAAAATCTTTCAACAACTCTTTCTCCAATCTTTAAACCCATATTGCCAGTTACTCCGATTCAAGCTCCAACTAGCAATAAACATGATCATCAAACAAAATCTATCCGAGGAAGAGCAGTCGATACAAGGATATATAAAAACCCAATACTGGTGGCGGTTAATATTGGGTGACCAGATCAATATCAAGAATAAGAGAGACAGCAGGTCCATACTCAACCAGGTTATAAATCTTCCAATGTTCACCACAGCGGAAAAATGTGCTTTTGTGGCTTGGTATAAATTATTGTCCAAACCAATATCTCAACAACAAACATTGAACCCAATGAATATCAAACACTCAGACCTTGCCAAGTCCATTCAAGACGGTATACCAACTATCTATCAAATGGAGATCCCAAAACTGGTCATGGAGTTTGAACACAAACAGGGAAGCAAGAAAAAAAGAGCCAGAATTGATAAACATAAATTATCCACCACTTTAACCAATATCCAAGAAGTCACCCAAACGAAACAAAACTCTTTCTGGAAGAGACTCCACAAATACCAACATAATAGCCCTGGTTACTTTGAAAACATACACATATTCCACTTAGGTGCTGAACAATTTTTTTACCAACATAGAAAATGTCACTATTGCGGGCTCGAAACCGTCTCTCAAGACCAACAACATGAATCACCAGAACTCCAAGTCAAGATCAAAATGACCCATTTCCTAATTCAATGCCCATTATCAACCGAGTTATGGTCAAGATTGAAAATCCCAATTCCATTAGCATGGAATAACTTAATCGCTCCCAATCATTCAGAATCAACAATCAAAAAGATCGACCGCTATCTATGCTATCAACGCAAACTCTCACGCCTAAGATATCATAACCAAATTGATTGGAACACATCAATTAACAACTTGATTTATATCATTACTACTGGGAGCTGAATAGTCGATCAAAACAAAAAAAGAAAAAAAAAAAAAATAACAAAAACAATAACAAAAAAAACATTTTATTTAAATACTAATAATTATCACTAAAGGGTTTTTCACCATATGATATGGTTTTCCCTAACATATATAATGAGCATTAGCTTATAAGATTTTACATAGATATATATAATTATATATTTATTAATAAATCGAACTTTGAAGGAAAAAAAAAAAAAAATTTGATCTATCAAACAGAATACCAGAGGCCATAGTTACCAAGGAGATTTGATACCTGAAGCATATAGCAGTCAACATTATCTTGCTTTTGCTGATGATATCACAGTTTTCCTCAAAGATAAAAGAGATTATTCCAAAACAATGAAATGTATTAGACTATTTGAAAAATTCAGTGCCAGCAAACTCAATGAAAAGAAATCCCAACTAATCATACCAACTGATACTTATCCATTTTTGACACCATTCCCATTTGAGATTGCTGATGAAAACTTTCAATTGACATATTTGGGGATAACTATTGGGCCATCAGTGACATTTTGGCCGGAAACATTGCAGCGTGACCTCTATATCAAGTACAAGTTATCAAACATGACCAGCTTGCTGATTCAATCAAAAATAGAAGCATTCAACACATATATTGCATCCAAGTTCTATTACAAAGAACTACACCAACCTTTGTTACCCAATCAGTTGAATCAAATTGACACATCGATTAAGTTATTGGTCAAGCAAGATACACCTATTTCTTTGGATACACTCAAGACACACAACAACAAAGGCGGTTTCTCAATGATTGATTTAAAGTCTCAACTCCAACACCGAAGAGCCAAAATTTTCCAGGATTTGTTTTTGGATAGTCACACTAAATATAACCAGATATTACGTTTCAAAATTCAATCAAGTATCAACAACATCATTCAAAAAACATCACCAACAAAATCACCAAAGGATGATTATATCAAAACTCATTATTGGTGGGTGGTATTACTTGAACTAGCGGATGACATTGAGAATACCAATGATTCAATTTCCTTAGAAGTTATGAATAGCAGCACATTCTCAGATGCTGAAAGGACAGCGTACTGGGATTTCAGAAAAGTTCTTGGTATAAAGAAACGTACAATCAGGTTGAAGCCAATGAAGATTGGAATTGAAGATTTGAAAAATTCAATTGAAAAAGGGATTCCTGAAAAATATCAACAACACATTCCAATTAGAATTAAGGATTTTGACCATACTAAAGGAAGTAAAAAACAACGGGAAAAACAAGATGCCAACAAGATGTCAAAAACACTCATGGATATTACTGGG